ATGGATTACGGTTGTTATCGTAACTCGGTCTTATTAACCCACGTGCTTATCCATAATTATAAATTTCTTAATGAATAACTTTGTCTTCAACGAAGCTTTAACTTACGGTCATTAATAATCATCATTATGAAACTTGTGATCGTTAATTTTTTAATTTCCGACGTAAAATCTTCTATCTTAGATTAAATATCGCATCTTAGATTCAAACTCCACGAGAACAAAATCCATAGAAAACTTACAATTGAGAGAAAATAAAACTTTTGATAAATTCCGTATATTCTCCACGTCGCGCAATTTTGGCGCATATGTGTGCATCGCGCGCAAACGTCATCCATTTTTGTCAGGCGTGTATAAAACTTCCGACATGCGAAAGATTTCCCTACGTCAAGAAATCATATTTATAGTTGCGTGAACGCGGAAGATATCGCAATGTGAATATCCGTAACGCTACACGCGACGCGTAATACGTAACGATACGAATCGCTGAATGGAATAGTTTATATCACAAGCTCACGACAGGATTAACTACGAACTCTGAACTTTTGGGTTCGATGGCTCTTCTTTTTTCCCCTATTGAATTCAATCCCGTGTAACCTTTCATCCGTAAGCGTCGATAGTGCACTTTGCAATCGCGACGCTTCAAAAACGTTGTTGTCGACACTTGCAATAGATAAGCTCCGGAACCTGTGTAAAATGCGAATACGCGTGCTCCTTCGTGAGTTTGCAGGAAAAATTTCTGTCGGGAAACTTCTTAATTGAGCGGGAATACGTTGCACGATGCACTTTGCACCTTTTGCATTTTTCCGCCTTCGTATTTTTCGTACTTTGTATTTCCTGCGAAAGTGTAACGCGAATAGTTGAAAGTCCACAACTCTAGGATGCAGTTTCGCCATCGATACAGCCGAGTGACGTATCGTGAGATAAAAATTATGGTTTTCTTGGACATATGGCAATCGCAAATCATAATTTTAGATAAATAAGGTATTTTTTTCACTTACACAAAAAATTCATATACATTCTTACGGAAGGTTTATGTACAAGAGATACGTGTCAACTGTATATAATGTATCGTATTGCGATTTTATCTACATATTCTTCATCCAGCTTTCGATTTAAAGCGTAAGAAAAACTTGGCACAGAACTACTTTAATTGCGCGATAAAAACGCGGACAGAACATAAACAAAAATTTGCATTTAGTTGCACAAGTCGTCGCGTGATGGAAGATAAACGAACATTATATGCCCGGACTTTGCACTACGTTTCGTAAGATAGCACGATGGTTTTATTGTAAAGGTAAAAGGATTAAGTGGCATTACTTTGCATTGTCCTTTGTAGGCGAGGGCAATTTATGCGGGGCCGTTCCTCCGCATAAAGTGCAAGCGTTTCGGCGCAATGCTCGTCTTACTAATTTAATTGCTTTATGCCCATAAGAGCCCACAATTTGCAACGGATTCGTTAGATTTTACTTTGAGATCACTGGATTATAATATCACTTGAAGTTTAATAACATTAATTGAGTTGTTTTTTTTTGACATTTTTGTCCGATTTCCTATTATATTTCATCGTGCACATATAACTACGTTTTTATGTTACGTTTATATATATTAATATATTCCACCACACATGTTCTCTCCCTTTATAAATTGTGTCAATATAAAATCTGGGAAATTAATAATAATTTATAAAGTAGAAGAAGAACAATATTTGTTATCGCATACAAATTGGCATTGAATACAATAAGCATGTTACAGTAAATGGAAATATGAAAATGGAATATTTCACATAACATGTCAAAGACTTCTTGTTAGGTTCATTGAGAGAAATGGCGTTATAATATTTACCGTCAGTAACGGTAATTCTATTTGTTTCAATTTATTCAGCCGCCGACGCATGTTTAGTACGGACAGAAATTTTGCGATACGTTTTACAAACGTGCCGAGTTTTGCTCACTGTTTATATGTATGTACATCACTCTTCAAATATCCTCGTAAAATTCAGCCGACGAAGTTGCCGGCTTTTCGTGGCACACCGCGATATGTTCTACATCTTCGTCACACCGCGACTGTAAAATTCATCCCCCAAGAGGGAAAGCCATTTTCCTTAAAGTATAGCATCTCACACTATTGCGAGAAATTACAGCACGCTTATATCTACGTAACCAATTATATTAACGTCACAAGTGACGTTAATATCAGAAATATAGAGCTGTATAAAGTCTTTCATTTTAAATAACCACACTTTTTTTTCATCCGTTTTCAATGCCCGTGAAAATAAATAGCCGATGTTTAATGCGCTATCCTTTTATATTCAACGCGGAATGGATTAATTACATTTAAAACGTTAATTTGTAATTTGTAATTACATACCAATGGCGGTAATATCGAAGAGTGGTACTCTCAGTCGATGGCCCTTTGAAATAACATACGTAATAATTGTTGATAATAATCGTTCGAAAAGTGGCTATCACAGTTTCTCGGCTATCCCGTATATAAAAAAATAATATAAATTTTTGATACAATCTCTTTTAGAGAGAAGAATTTAATCGTGAGATATTGCAATTCACATATAATGCGAAAATGTTGGAGCGTCGAAGAAGAGCGAAGATAGCGGAACTATTTTTAGTCACGTCTGTCACCACGAGAATGTCAGATAAATCGATCAGCAACTTTCATAAGATGCGTTTTTCTCCACCTTCCATTTGGTCTCATAAAATTCACATAACCAAGTTACATTAGACGATACCAGCTACTGCCAGTCGTGAATTTAAATTCAATACACGAAGGTTCTTTTCGCGCAAAAGAGACGGGAAAACTTTTCTCGTAAGTCAGTTTCTTTGTATCGTTCAGCAGACGTGCATCATATTGAATCTCTCTTTATCTCGAAATGCCTCGTTTGCGTCGCAACCGCAATTACATAATGGACACATGATACATTACAACAATATTTCAGCTTTCTTTTGCAAACGGAACAAAAGCTGCAGATGCTTCATATAAAAAAAAGCTATATTTAAAGCATCACTACAAACGCGCCCTTGTTATAAAAATTATCAACAAATATTAATATTATATTTTCTGTCTTAGATATTTACTATTAATCAAATATTTATATTTTTTAACAAATATTATACACACAATATTAATATCGTTTTAACGAGATACTACAATTTATGTTTTTTATTTATAAGGAAGATTTAATAAATATAAAATTATACGTATTATATAATATTGATTAATATCAAGAAATATCAGTTTACAAAAAAAATTCTATTTGCAAGAATTATAGTTATTGAATTGCATGTGGAATGCTATATGGTGAAAATGTGCAAATTCGTTCAAAAGTAAGTATTAAAAATAACAGAGAGATTCAATTTCCAATATTAAATCCCTATAGCAACGATTGTCCTTCGACACATACCGCGGTGAAAAAAAAATAAAGTCGATAGAATTTCCATCACATAGCTTACCAATTTCCTGTATTGCCTTTGCTATTGTCGCTATTCAAAAATTTTCCAATCTTATTGCATTCGATATGAATCGTTATTATTCCTTCTTTTTTATGAGATTGAATAAAACGTCATTTACAATTTAATATGTGTGTATATACAATTTAATATATATGTATTTAAATCAGTATATAAAATCAGTATAAAAATCAGTATAAAAATCAATATATAACAAATTATTAATCTTGTATAAATAATTTTTATGCGCACAAATGTAAATAATAATATTTATAAATTAAACATAAATATGTACAGAGAAAAAGAAGATATAATTGACATTAGATACCATAATTCAATAAATGTACATCACAAACTGTAATATATTCTCTCTCTCTCTCTCTCCTTCTCGTGTCTATTACAGACTAATAAAGTATTTGACCATAAATTACATTAGTCGGAGTTTTCTGTAAAAATGTGGATAATGGGTAGAAAATATTTCGAAAAAATAGCATACTATTTTACGCAAAACAAGTGACATTTTCGACAATTTTAGCGTATCGTTTACTGACGAAATATAGGTCGCGAGATAAAGTTTGCCTCGGAAAACTATTTCACGTGCGACAGGTGTTAATTCCGCGTTGATTACTTTTACATCGTAAACCGGCTAAATGTTATCGATTCGGATCGTTACCGCCTGCGAAATACATGTATTCGCAGTGGGATCCCATTAACGAACTATTTCCATTCCACAAATTAATTTAGTGCCGCCACTGAATATGTTAACAGTGATTTGGTGTATCGTATAGAGGAAATAATAATGTGTGCTCGGTGACTTGAGCGTCTCTTAAATAAATATTGTGTGTTGGAAATCTCGTAGTTATAATACTACCGTTATTATCTTTAATTATATTATTACAAGTGTCGCATTGTTGCATTAGTAAACATCAAATACGGAAATAACGCGCTCAGATGTTTCTTTTAGGATTCATAAATAGCCCGGAAATGTGAGGGAATTGCCTCGAAAATTCCGTCGCTGATCCGTTTGTCTATTTTAAGCGGTTTGCGAAAAATCCGCCGGTACTTAGGCATTCGCGATAGTTTCTGGTACGAGATAGCTGTATGGATGCTCCATAACGCCAAACTTTCTACAAAGGCCCGTTTTTTTCCATGAATATATAACGCGACATAAAATATCTCGCGTGTCCCGTGTGCCTCAGGATATTTTTGCGAAACTACTGCGATTTTCCGACCTGCTCTGTCAAAAATTTAACTAAACAACTTTAACATCATAAAGTGAGATATTTAAGATGTATATGTTGTACATATGAGATGGTATATATTAAATATACAATTAAACTAAATTGATCTCCCGCTGACAGATCATTTCCTCGTATGTCGAGATTGTCTTTGACTTGAATCTGTTACATTTAAGAGTAATGTAACACGCACATTTCCTTCAAGGTTTATTTATCACGAAGCTTTGGATAATCGAACAGATAAATAAAGGAACGATAAACGTATTAAAAATCCCGTTGACGCAACTATTGTTTGTTTCAGTGACGGGATTAGAGCCAGACTTCGCTTACCCGCTGGAGAACGTAACGATCCCGCAGGGTCGAGACGCTACTTTCACCTGCGTGGTGAAGAACCTCGGTGGATACCGGGTGAGTCCTTCCTCCTCCGTGAGCGGAGATCACTCTGGCAGCGCCAAGGCCCGGGTAACTATTTTACCATTAACCTGTGTCCGCCTGTAATGGACTACTACCTTATCTACTACTACCTACTACTACTAACTCTACTACTGTCACTACTACTACTACTGCACCACCTATATGCGCGCGTGCCTGCACTTCACAGCACTGCATTTAACTGCACTATACCGCCAGCTATGAAAAAAGAAATATATACTATATATACTATCACAGCCGCAGAGCAGCCACCATCACCAACCATCTCTGTATATGACATTCATTTTCATCTATCAGCTGGCGGTACCTATAGAGGTACCGCATGACTTGGACGCAGGCAACTAAAGTTTCATAGTCTCTTCACGTTCTTCCTGCCTCGTTCTCTTCGTTTATTTCGTTGGGAAATATCAGCAACTCGCGCCAAAGAAAGAGGCGACTTTACCGCGAGATTGCAAAGTTACTCACGCGAAATGGCTAATGATGCCTTCGTGCGTCGAAAGAATGCAACGTATCGTTATCCATCATTATAATTCGATACGTGCGTCTAGCCATTATTGAACTTAGGACGCATCGTCATCGCGGCTTTCTCGTTTCCTTCATATCGCATTATGCTGATTATGCATTGTAATTTATTGTTGGAAGCACATATCGCACCATCATGATACATACGCTCGTGTATTGTGTTTTCAAGAGAATTTCATATATTTCTTCTTAATATGTTAGAGTGATTTGAAACGCAAAGTTGATCGAACATTTATCGAGATCGATGATATCAATATTAAAACGTCGCCTAGCAAAGAAGGAATTTATTCGGATCGACCGATTGGTCTTTACCTTTGTCTGAAAAGAATTCGAATCGCGAGAGATCCCCGAATAGATGCAGAAAAACTGATTCATCGTTGCATCTATTGTTTTTTTTCTGGCAATAGCTTTTGGGCCAGCCTCTGTTTCTATAGTTATACGTTTCAGAACACCACTATTATTATTCAATATTACTGACATGTTAATTTTTTTCGCTTTTTCGCCGTAAACGTCCAATGACCAAATGCAAACATTACGCGTTGACTTGGTAAAGTATTATATTAGTTATTATTATTTACTATTACGTATACGATATCAATAAAAATTTACCAAAAGTCTTAATATCAGGCATATTTGAATAGCTTATTCTGTTAATTCAGCATCAAAAATACAAAACGAGAAAAAGATTTTAAATTTCTCTTTCTTTGCAATTACATAATATACATATTAATTTTACAAAGTATCAATAAAATTTTTAAGCAAAATCGTTGTTTCAAGTCGGGAACTACTTTATATTTCTCGTATCAAATAACAATTAATTTATGCATTTATTATAAAATATGCAAATTTCTTATATTTTTGTTTTTTCTAAGACAATTTTTACATTTATTCCTGAAATACATGATTTTATCTTATTATTCTTTAGTTCATAATTAAAATAATTGTTCGAAAAACGCTATTTATGAACTGTTTTCGAAATATAGAGACCTTAGAGACCTTAGAGTCGTGTGTAATTGCGTAATCTCTGCTTTACACTTTCCGGTAATAGCGATTCTCGCCAATGGAAGGAAGATTGATCAAGGCCGGCACAGCCTCGCTATATGTGTGGTGAAATTGATTTCGCGTGAGTACATATCGCCGATGTGGCGTATTAAGCGCTTTTCGGCTCCACTTGTTGAACCGATAACTTCCCGATAGCCAAGAGGTTCCCTTCCTCCGTTGCCGCGGAGATCTTTCGCCATGAAAAGAAATTTCGGCGCCGCGCGCGCGATCCCCTCGTAGATTTTAATTAAACTTGGCACTGTCAGAGTTTATAACTTGTTTGAAAATGCGATTACTTCCGGCAATGCGCTTGCCCGCGTTTCAACTTCTTTCTTACAACACAGTCGGACAATTCTCCGTCCGGTAGTTTGCGCTCTTTTCTAATAAGGATCATCGCGACGGTTTCATTTTCTTTTCTTCGTTCTTTCACATTATTAAGCATATAGAGCTCCACGAACAAGGAGAAAATTTTGTTTCAACAAGCTCGTAATTAATTTCCGGAGTAAATATCGCTTCGTGAGTTTTTGGAGAATATTTCAAGTTGGAGCTGATCAATTATTTGTTTTTTCAAAATAAATTAAGTTTCTTTTTGTTTCATCTAGCCTGTAAATATCATATCAAAATTTTGGTGAAAAGTTATTTACAAGATTTATTTTATATACATTATAATAAATATAATAAATTTATAGAATTTATATAGTAAGTAAAAAGAGAATCTAAATTATTTATAATATACAATATATATAATATACAATGAAACATTGAGAGTAGATTATATATGTATTTACCAAACAAAATAACTGCTACATAAAATAAATAATAAATTTTTAAAATATAACTCAAAAATTTAATACTAAAATATTCTATCTTGTCAGCTGTTAGAAATGCTACAATTTTGATATTTCAGCGCACATTTTATCAATTATTCTTTTAATTTCTCAAAAATTTGAAAAGAAATGTCAGATTGACAATTATGTGAAATTTTATTATGTTATTTAATCTGACATTCCATCTATTATTTTATTCATAAATACATTTGCCTGTGTTATTGCGCATAATGCACAATAATTTGTGAGAATTTTGATTAATTTATTTAGACAGTTGACTAAATCAGCGATTTCAGTCATTAAAGAAAATCTCTCAAATAATCGTTTAAATCATACGAGGTCATACATCGAAAGTACATTATTTTTAGATTGATTTTTTTTCATTTAAAGATTATACACGTATGCGTATATACGTAGTATTGATCTAAATACGCCCCCTCTCCCGTGTACTTTTCTATTCCCGAATATAATCGCGATACAAAAAAGCTCAAGTATACTTTGAAGATGGTTAGAAAGCTTCTCCGTCGAATTGAATTTCACTTTTCATTGAATTGAATGAGAACCGACAAAGCGACGACGTTCAAATCAACGTTAACGAGCACCGAGACATTGCTTACAATTTGAATGCTCTGTGCTCTAAATGAATTTCGCGAATCGGGCGATGTAAGTCCGTGCCTATAGCAAGGATGTTCAGATCTAGTATCCGGCTTTTTCGCTTGTTAGATTTAAGCTTTGATGCTTAATGGCACCCGCTGGAAAACCAAGGACTGGTAGTTCGGTGATTGTTCCAGGCAACAGCATTTACTTTCTATTATTTCCAATGATCATTTATTAAAGCAAAAGTACATTCATATATTGCAAAAGATAGTTAAAATAATGGGCAAGATCAACAATAATCCTGTACAACAATTTTTTGTTCTCGAACTGATATTTTATGATCTTTACTAAGATGTATTTTGAAAGGAATATATATTATTTATCTTAATCAATTATCTTAACGCATCAAAAATTTAGTAGTACATTGTATAGAGAAAAATGTGTGGATTCTGTTGCCTCGATAGATGACAGTATACTTGAAATTCAGAAGACGAAAAGTTTTAAAAGATATTTCAAAACAGGAATGATGGGCATGAACCAATGTAACAGATTGTAAAATTAATAATTATAAGTATATAAGCATAATTGTCTTCAACTTTAACAAACAAACACAATCTTATAATTTCACAAGTTTATATTTGTGATCTTCCTTCTATAATATTTGTAATATTTATATAAACATGTATAAAATATAATTATTAATCAAATATTTCAAATACTTTATTTAAATTTAATTTTAATTAACGCTGATTTTTTTGATTTATTACGACATTCAAAGTGTTCCATATTTTTGTTGACATCATTATATTTAACAAAAAACTGTTTCAGACGTCTCTGATTCTGGTTGCGGATTCAATTTGTGAATATTGAACGAAGACGAAAAATTATTACACGAAAAAAATTGCAGCTGAAACAACTTTTATTCAATCTTGCTAATTTAAAATATGTCGCTCACATATTATATGATGACGATTCTTTCTCGTAGCAGATGACTTTTGTCATTTAATTTCTCTCCAAAATCATCGAAATAGCAAATTCTGTGTCCTGTCGTACCCATCTCTCTCTTTCTCTCCTTCTCCTATTCTCCTCGATACGAAAACATTCAGGTTCACATCGGCTTGTCCACGAATGCACAATTTCTATTTGCACATGTGTCTGTTTATAATGCATAAACGCATTTGAGATTTGAATGTTCGTGCGAGATGAAATATGATGCAAGTTGCATTGGAGAAGGATTGAGATGTTCGGACGTGTTATGCGCCCCTGAGTAATTGCCGAATACGAAGGGCGAAATACGTATTGTTCTTAGCGTGTCACTGAATTCCTGTCTATATGCGAGAGGCATGCCAATGATGCATGAATATATGATAATGGAGAGTACACGAGGTTGCATGAGCATGTTTTTAACAATAAGCATTAATCTAGACAGATGAACGAAATATGTAACTTGATATTAGAATTTAGATCAGAGAGGTCGTTCAGGTTTTAGCAGCGATAAATAAATTTAGCAATCCTTAATTAGAATAACGAAATCTCTTCTCTTCTCGTATAATTATCGTATAAGAAATTATGTGTGTCTTATATATCTACTATGTTAAATATACAGTATTTCTATAATTCGTCAAAAATATAACATATATTGTAACACGTAGAATACCCCGATATTAAACCAACAAGTTTACAAAAAATTGTACAAAAATCATCTAAAGAGCACCTATGTAAAATTCTTTATTGATATTCTCATCGAACATTTAATGTTAAATGCGACTGTCTGATCTCATTTACGTGTTCCGATTGCGTAACTTTGGAAGCGAATAATCTTAAGTTCCACTCGAGCTCTTACATGGCAGAGGAGACCAGCGCGTGCCATTTTATTCACGTCACCCGGTACGTCCCGTGAGCGTCACGCTAGAACGAGTAATCTCGTCCGAAACGTGCGTGTCACGCGGATCGGTTAATCGTTCGAATTCCGCGCACGCGGCTGCGCGGATGAGTGCGTTTCGCTGTACCGTCGAGCGTGCTGCGATGCCCGGAGTCGCGTCGCGCTCCCTGCCATAAATTCTAACATTTAACCCCGCCGCGTTATCGCGTTCTCGAGCGCTGCGCTCGAATTTTGCGCGATATCCCGAAATAAAATTACGTATAATAAACAATTGCGCTCGTACGTAATCGCGAATATGCGCAAACACTAGGAAGCCGAGTTCCAAAATTTTTTATCGCCATTATATATATATATATATATATATATATATATATATATATATATATATTTAACTCTACACAGTTTCTCCAGCAATTTAATTTGTTCTATAAATATAAGAATTTTATTGCAAAATTTTGCGCTCTCTTCTTTGTTTCTTTTCTTTGTTTTTATTATTGAATATTGCATAAAAATATAAATTGTGGAAATAAAGTTTAATCGGAGAGTCGCAGCGTTCGTAACGTCTATTCCCGAATTAACCCTTTCAAGAGAAACATGAATTGTAAGTTATTTATTTAAAAAAATATATTTTTTTAAATGTAATATCTTGGCGACATAAATTTTTAAAAATCACAAAAACTGGAAAAAAGAGTTTTTTTTTATTAAATTATGTATCTCAAATTATATATAAAAATTCTTTTAAATTCCTTCATTTCAAAAAGGAAAGATACAATTTCCTATAAATGAATAATGAAAATAAAAATCATTTTGAAAGGGTTAAAGTCATCGCAATAGAGCGCTTTAGAGCGAGAATAGAACGGAAAAGAGGATAAAAGAAAGAAATGATGCGGAAAAACTACGAAATAGTACACTAGCTTTTAGAAAAACGTAAAACTATGATAGCATAGGAAGGGCTTGGTATACAAGGCAAAAGGTCGCTCCGACAAAGTTGTCCTACAGTGCATCGCAATGGCTACAAGAATGGGAGAAAAGCAAAGCGGAACTTTTAATTAGCGAGTTTATCCATTTATTCTACACGCCGCTGAAAAAGGGAACAGCCGTACCTTAGGATCAGCCAGCTGGACAAAAGTCGAGAAAATAAAAACTTAGGAACGAGTCGCGCTATATAAGTGGGTGTTGGAGAGCGAAAAATAAAACGCGAGGGATGAGAAGGGATAAAGAGAGGGTGAGTTTCGAGAAGAAGGGGTTCTGAAGAGCCGCGGAGGAGATGGCGGGAAATAAACGAGGTGTGGTAGACTGGACCGAGCTCCCGATCCCACAATGCGCCACAATGGAGCGCCGACGATGGTTTTGCATATGAAAGAGGGCCGAGAATGGAGGGAAGCACCAAAGGCAGGGGATAGACAGGGGAGGAATAGGTGTACGTAACGCGATATTATATCGGACTAGAGAGGTTACCCTCTCTCGCTCTCACTCTCTCATCCCCAAATCTCTTTATGTCTATCTATCCGTCTGTTCCGCTACCCACCGCAGGTTCCTTCGCGGGTTCTCCCGTTATATCCTTAAAGGACCACGAAGATCAACGTAGGAGGAAAAGGCTGTAAAACGAAAGTACCCGGGAGAAAGAAACTGCATTAGGTAAAGAGAGCGTTTTTGCGTTAAGATAGAGACTCGTTTCCATATGAGGGCACGATGCGCCCTTTAAGTTCTCTTCATCGTCTCCCCATCTTTATTTCTCCCTGCTTTAAATCCTCCGGCTTTTTCATTGTACTGCAAATTTGTGATTGATTCCTGATTCGGGAAGACTTGGGCGCGAGGAGAAAAAACGGAGAGGGAAAATGATAGTTTTTGTACAAGATTTTCCTTTTTGCGAGCGCAGCAAAATCGCCCGGCTTTTGAGTTTTGACTTTCGGATGCGCGACTTAAAAGGAGCAACGTATTGTGCCGCGCTTTCGCTTCGTTGTCGCTAGTGCTTACGCGACCTTATCCCGTTCGCGTTGCTATGGATACGTTCTCCCGCTTCCAACCGATTTTGATATCGGGTATTTGCCAGGAGTCTCTGTCACAGGATTCTGTGAAATAAGGACTCCGTGAGGAAACTGTTTCCTAATCGATTTTGCTTGGCAATAACTGCCGGATAAATATCTTTTTCCTGCAGCTTCCTGTTTCAAATGCCATTGTCATACTAGTATTTTTCGCTTCTTCCTTCCACATGTCGATTATTTTTCATAAATGCGAAATACTTCATAGAATATTTAATATTTTCTTCTCTTCTGTTTTTTATTCGCTTCTCTATTATTTTCTAATTTTAAGAGACGATCTTAAATCGTATATCGCTTCGCGCATGTTTCCAATGCTCTCTTCTCCCTTTTACTTTCGGCCTACAACAATTAATCATCGAATGAATTGACGATAATATGGCATAAATGTTTAAGAGTTGCGAGCATCTATCGCCCGCCGTGACTTTTCCGCGCCCTCTTTTTCGAGAGGGTGGTTTGCCACCTCCGGAAGATCGCTGGGCGCACCAAAAGCGAGAATGGGGTCGCACTTATATATTCCGGCATAATATATTATAAGTGGAGGCACTCACAGGGCCGTCACTACCAAACACTCGCACCCTCTCGCATCCCAGACCATCCTTCCTCCCGCAACCGTCCCTCTTCATCTCTCCGCGTCCGCCCTCTATACACTCTGCTCGCGGGTTATCGATAAGAACCGCGGAACTCCTTTGTCGGTTGATAGATAGCCTTTCAGAGCGATGCGAGGTCAGATATTCGACATGGTACGGGTTCAATTTCATGCCAATAATATCTGTGCAGAGGGAGACGAATAGGGCAGAGAACAGGGGAGGGGAGGATGAATATTCGCGATATGCCACGATGCAGTTTCCTCCACCAGAATAGCTTCGACCAGGACGCAAGGCGGATTTATGACTAATACGTGTTAACCGGTCACACAATTGCGTTTTCTCTCTTTCTCTCTTTTTCCTTTTTCTCCGCCCTTTTTCCTTTTCTTCATTGATTCTAATCCGCAAAAAAAAAATGGGTTTAATTAATGGCGTATATCAGCGGCGAACTGCAATAACCGGTGAGAGTTCAATTTAGCGTTGATGATACGAAGGATCGCGAGCGAAAACGCGGTAACCCACATTCGGAATAGTCACGATAGTTACTTCCGAAGTAATATAACTTGCAGAACATTTACGGGAGCGTGAAGAACCTCTGATAAATTATATCAATACGCGAGAGAGGAATACGAACGACATATATTTCTTTAGTTGAGACGGTTATTTCCGTCCTTTTACTATTTTTATACCTTTAATATGAAGCTCGCTCGAGTTTGATGTAAACATAATGTTACATCCTGCGAGAGCTGAACTTTGGTACTAAACCGTTATCTTTCGCGACTATCTATCTTTATTTTTCTGAAAAGTTACGTTCTATGGGTTATCGTGCTCTTGCCCGCAGAATTCTTCATATTTACACAGCGGCGGACCATCGTGGCGCGCAACGGTACAGTTTTCCTGTCGAGGTATGCGACGGAAAAGCCGAAACAGATTTTGATAAAGAGAAGATTCTTTCATGGAATATACCGGCTTCTGATACCTGCCTTCGAGATGATGTATACGAATATTTCATTCATTCGCGAATAAAATACACGTCCCGTATTTATATCTCTTATTCTACGCACAGTCTGACAGAGGTACGTTATCTCGAAATCGGGTTCATATTTGATTTTGATCGTGATAGAAAGCGTAAGATTATATTTGCGAATATTTTAAAAATAACCAAAATATAGAGAAAATTAGACAAGCAGTAAAAAAAGTGATAGAGACTATAACACAATTTTTTAATTATGTCTAGTAAATTAACTCTTTCAATATTTATATCTAGCGTAATTAAAGTCAATCAAATATCATTTACAAATTTTTTTATCGGATTTTTTCATCTTAATTAAATAAAAAAAAGGATTGTAAAAATTGTAGGTGAAATTTAATATCGAAAGAGTTGATTAAAATATAAAATAGCGAAAACTATAAAAATCTAGCTCGAGATAGGCGAAATGTTTCACAAGACGCTGGATAGATTCGCGACGACACATTCATGAGAAAGGAATCGTTAATTGATGAGTTACGCATAGCGATGAGATTAGGCAGGCTTTGACAAGTACCGAATCAGCATGAAAAAATTCCGCTCTCTCTAAAAAATGGGTTTGTGAGGCCAGGTGGCATGGATCAAAGCGGACACCAAGGCGATCCTAGCGATTCATGAGCACGTGATCACAAACAACGCCCGTCTGTCGGTGACTCACAGCGATTACAACACGTGGACGTTAAACATTCGCGCAGCACGTCGAGAAGATCGCGGGATTTATATGTGCCAGGTCAACACGGATCCCATGAAGAGCCAGGTACGTAATATCCGCCCCGCATAAAAGATTAATCGTTGCCAAGTTTGTTTTGTAAAAAGGAATGAAACCTCATTCATCTTTTTAAGACCACATTTTGCAAGTACAAAAAAATAGATATTAATAATTCAAAATTATTACGAAATGATCGAGTAAACTAGAGAAAATATATTAAAGAATTTCTATAAATTTCGTAGAAATTACCTCGATTTTATTCATTTTTAATTACAATTTCAGACTCGAAATTCTCTATTTTAATTTGATTCGTGTTTTCTTGGCATATTTCGTGATACCTTTTTTTTCTATATATACATGCACGTGAATGCGTTACAATTTATTATCTTCACGCATTTGCAGAGCGCGTTTTTGGAAGTGGTAATACCACCAGACATAATCTCGGAAGAGACTTCGAATGACATGATGGTACCCGAGGGAGGTTCCGCCAAGCTGGTGTGCAAAGCGCGTGGTTATCCCAAACCTGATATCGTGTGGAAACGAGAAGACGGCACCGAAATCATTTCGCGGGCTAGCCTTACTGGCGGCAAGACAAAAAGTAAGGGACTCCAAGTTTTATTTCGCGCCAGTCAATCTCTTTCTTCTCTCTCGAGAACGATATACGTTATTCTCCGAACAGATTTTTTTTACCGAAAGCGCAATTGTCAGCACAATTAAAATTGATCTCGCCGAAATAGCCTGTATCCTCTACGAAATTTAATTGGCTACTTCTTTTTGAATTTTGTTACGAAATTTGATTTGAGAAACGACTTTCCATCTTTGATATACATATCATTTTTAATGCAAAATTCAAAGAAAACATCAAAATATATACTTATGTGATATATTTCCATTTTCCTTGGAAAGTTAGTTTCGATAATATCATATCTGGTAGTAATAACTTGCAATCGAAAATTGTCACTTCTGTAATAAACTACTTCAGAAATAGGTTTAACTTAATAACGGCAAATTTCCACGTGGACATTTCTGCGTCTGTGTGTATGAGTTTAAACTGTTAAGCCGATCAGATATTAACGTTGCACACTTTGATTATATGTAACGAGCTAACTTCTAAGGCCGTTCCTTGCGCTTGCATATTGCAGTACCTACTGCAGGAGGCGAAACGCTGACTTTGTCGAAAGTAACGAGGGGCGAGATGGGCGCCTACCTGTGCATCGCCAGCAACGGAGTACCCCCGTCAGTCAGCAAACGAATGATGCTGCACGTGCATTGTAAGTAATATACCTCTTACTACTTCATCGAGCACACGCGGGTTCGCTTCATGTCGCAAGGGAATGTTTTCATAGCACAAATTAGATAATCTTTTGTCAATTTTTTAATAAAATACGGATATCGCTGAAACGAGATTTGCTAAAACTTTCAAACGTTAATTTAAATCGTTGCTAAGTGAAAAATAACAGAGGGACGATCGCGCAATTTCTAGCGATAACTCAGCACAAAGGATACATTAAAATTTATAAAGTAAACATTGCGGACGCTTTGTAATAAATTATAAAACAAACTGCATAAAAATCTCGCGCGAGTGTTTTACCGATTAAAATTCATAAATCTATATAGCTTGTATGTTCATAATAAAATCTTATGTATTACATGTTTCATGAAATGTCAATGGCATAAATTATCAGTTAATCATTAATTTAAATGCTTACTTATTTATAATTGATTTATTTCTTACAGAATATTCATCAAAAAATGCGTAAATAAGTATATATAAATATTAAATATATAAAATATCTGATAAATCAAACCGATTACTGCAACATTTTAAATAACATTTTAACAAATTCGTATTTATTAATTATATTTATGATTATTAATTTATTTCGAAATTAATAACATAAATAAATATTTTATATACATTTTAAATCTCAATAATAATCAAGTATTTAACAAAATATAAACGTGCGTTAAATAAATAAATAAATAAATACGAATCATTTACAAAAGCAATCTCTTAAAACTTGCTACCATTAAAAGCTTTCATTAATGCTAGTGACTAATCACTAGTGTCAATCCTGCGAGAAACGGTCGTAAGATAAAAATAGAACGACCGTGTTCGCGAATAGTAGTCGAGATTTTTTTTACTAGCTGTATAACGTCACAATTTCTCGAGCTCCAGAATATTTCCTCGAGCAATCGCCCAAGAGGTGTAAACTCCGCGAACTGCCGGCAGTAGCCTTATCCGCACGAGACATACTTCTCGGTGTAAAACGAGGGACGTCTTGCAGAGGGGAATATAAGGCGTCGCGACAACGATGAAGAAAAGCGTCGGTTGTAGCCGACGAGATAGCCATCGTCACCTTCTCTTGCATAATTTCACTGTACCAAAGGCAGGGAGGGTCTTTCTTTAAAAAGGGAGATGGGGAATGACGAGGGCTATAGCTAAGAATGGGAAAGAGAGGAAAGAGCCAAAAGGGAGGAAAAGACCAAAGGTAAAATACTGCTTAAATAACAGCGCGTGACAGCGACAAGAGTGAAGGGAAGACTTTACAGAATGATGGAGAGTGTCGGGAAGGGGCGCGAGATAATAAAATTACACTTGCGACGATGGTACAACACATTCGCATTTATACCGCCGCCGTAAAAGAGAGACGGTTAGCGAGCAGACGATATATACGCAATAAAGTTACATTCAGATTGCGCGAAGAGGGTAAATGAAGACACTCGCTGTATTAAAGGAATGTTACAAATTCAATTTCTCGAGAATCATTATGAGACAAATTTAGTTATCTAAATTCTTCATAATATATAAAAATGTTGCTGTTTTAAGAGATAAAAAAAACCACACAAATATAATAATAAAATAAAATAAAATAAGAATAATAAAAATAAATAAATATACATTTCTCTTGCAGTTTGTAATAAAACAAAATTCAAATTCTGCAACGTAATGAAAATTTTATCGCGATAATGGAGACGATAACAAGAGGCATTTATTTAATTATTTAATTATTTATTATTTATGTGAAATCAAAACAACTATTGTAATTTCATCGGTTCCAATTTGCTGTGATTGTTGCAATCAATAATCAAGTGGAGATTTAAATATTTTACGCGAACGAGAAAAATTGGATTCAAAATAAATTCCCATACATCAAGAAACTTTAAACTCGTTAAAAGAGTGTAAAAGAGAGGCGAGCACGGCAAGAAGTAGCTTCATTGCTGGGGAAGCGTGGTGTGACGATAGCGAGTTAAGTCGCACGGTTACGACCAACCCAACCGTATCTTAAATCCTGGCGAGGGGAGGTAATTTTCCTCGTCGGAAATTGGATGTACCTATGTACGTAGCTATGGACGTACATGTACGCTCGTTGTGCACCGTCTCGCACCTGCCCTCAGGCATTCCGCGATAAGATCACGCGCGGAATAATCGAGTTTCATTGAAATACGTCGTAGATGAAGCCGCGTCCGCGAGCTATTGCCGCGAAATTCGCGCGACCAGCATGGGCCCATAGGTATTGTGGGATAACGCGAGGGGGTGGCAGTTCATTCGTGGAATATGGAACTGCTCGTGGCAGACGGCCGATTGCTTCAAACGATCGCGTGATACGAACGCCAAAGCGCCCGAGTTCCTTTGGAAGTCGGAAGAATGTTTGAAATCATCGGCGAATGCCATTCGCGATTACACGAACGTCGACTTTGTCATCGACAGATATTTCCAATATTTAATCATTTTTGTGTCGCTGATATATTGTTTTATTTATTTCATCTACCTTGACGCTTGCAATAAAATTTGGTGGTATTAATTATAAAAGCCCATCGTAAATCTTACATTTTATAGAAATATAATTGACTTCGCTTATGAAATGTAAATCTCTCTTTCTTATCACAATCACCGGCGAAATGTATTGATATGATTTATTAATGATAAATTAACAGCTCGAAACTCTTTCTCCCGCAAGCAAAATTGTAGTCGGAGCTCACTCGTCATCGGCATCCACGCGACAGAATGAAAGTTCCTTCCTAGTTAAGGACTCGGGAAAGACAGACCGAGCCCTGATCTAATCATTGCAAGATGTGACAAGCTGAACTTTACTCGGAAACTTTAAACACCTCGCCGTCCGTTCCGGTTTTAACTTAGTCCCAACATTTTAACTTCTCCGTTACATCTCCCGCGACTCTCTTCCTCTCTGTTCTACGTTTGCAACTTTTCCACGGAACTCGGACGCGTAATTACGCGTTAGATAAATATCGTTGTACACGGCAGGACGGGACCACTGAGAAAAGCAACGCAACACAATGCCGGAAATGCCGTAACGCTCGCAGAGTCTCGATACGGTGGTCTTAACACCGGTTCTTAACAAAGAACCATTACACCGGAGTAGCGCGAACGCCATAGAAAAGGATCGAGCTTTATCTTATCACCGCAGAAATACCGAGTCCTTTGCGCGTCCGCAAAGACGAGAGGAAGTCTTGCTTCTCTCGCGGATCGCGCGAATTTCCCATCCACCCGAAGCCGTATACGGGCTAAGTCGCCGTTCTGGTTGACCTGAAAATACAATAACAAGCTTCTCTAACGTTCGTAAGTTGACTTTATGTCGCGCTATTGGTTTCTTTTAAGTAGACTTGATATCGCCACGGTTACTATCTCGGGATTACACGCGTGCCGGCGTCTATTTTTGTCGTAATGACAAAAATATCGTTTAACGTGGATTGCGAAAAATAAAACTTGGACAATTATATCACTCTTATTACGGGTAACACTGCTCATCTATCTCATCGGTTCTTTATTAATCGTTTACTTAATAAGTAGTTTTATATACTAATATAAACTCCTGTAATTTTGCTACTCGTCAAAGTACTGAAGAGAAAATACGATATAGCGCATAATAAATTAAAAGCTACTAATTAAACAACTCAACTTCTCTTTGTCATGAAATATCTAATTTTTCTCTCTTAAAAAGTGATACAGATTTTATCTTAGTTTGACAGCAAAGATTTATCGCGAATGAATATTACTTTTTACGCATCATTCAACGCAGATTGCGAATCGATCTGGGAACTATCTATTTAAAGGGGATTTTGCGTGATATCGAGAATCGCACGTTGCGTAATGCATTAAATTATTACGCTGCATTAAATTGTTACACCGCATTAGATTGGAGTATGAACGCGACGAATGCAATTTCACGCCACAGACCGCATTATAAGTGCTTTGAGGACGGCTCGCTTCGCTTAATTAGCGGAGGCGCCGAAAGAAATTAGCCTACACCATACTTATTTGCAGGCTCAATTGTGCTTCGCGGTCGACCCTCTGGTAGGGCCCTTTGCTTCAGATCGATCGGTCGTCTATTTTGCGGCACAGATATCAGATATCGCTGCGACTTATTTGATTGATTTGATTCGAGCAGTTTATTTCAGCACCGCTATATTTATGAACGATACCGCATTGTGAACTTGCACACGTTACTGCATATTATGTACGTAAGCAGGATACTCTCCAAAATATTCTTCTAATTTGTACTGATAAACCTATATTACATAAATCTTCGAAATGCTTAATGATAGTAAAGTGGATATAAATAATAAAAGAAACGATCAAACTGATTTTTCTTTAACAGAAATTTAATTTAACGTTAAAATCAATATTGAAAGGGAGAATATTATGTTATTTATGTTTCCATATTTCATTAAAAAGAAAAGAGAATATTATGTTATTTATGTTTCCATATTTCATTAAAAAGAAAAGATTCAATGAATCCAAAAAATCTATGAAAACATGTACACATAGCCATTAAAAAAAATTTAATTTAATAAATAGGAGCTATACTTATCAGAAAAATCGATTCGATGTACGAGGACTTGGATTTTTATTCTTACAGATTTGACGACAGGCGATGATGTTGTTCGATAAACGGTCGGTGCACAGGGAGAATTTGCATCCCGTGCAACTGCTTGATGGCGAAATGTCCGACGCCGAAATGCGTATTTGTGTTTCGCCGAATTTCGCGTCCGCGGGTTCATTCACAATTAAGAGTAATGCAGAGCGATCTCGCTGTTTGTTATCCGAGCAAACGCGTCGCCTATCGTCACGTACCAGGCTAAACGTTACGCGAAGAATTCCCAGCGTGAATATTCATCACATACGCCGCGTGGCGCGAAATCGGTGCCGCTGCGAACGGATCGAAAGTTTGCGCGTAAATCTGCCGGAAAATCACGCGACGGATTTGGGAAACACGTCCGGCAAATCGAAACAATTAAAACACACTCTCTCTCTTTCCCCAGTCGCGGCCAGAAGGGATTCATAAATCAATTCTCGCGATATAACGCGCGCTTGTGCTCAGAGGCGAAAACGTGATTCAATTCGGCGCATAATTGTTCGCCGAGATAGTCCACGCGTTGAGATTAACGCGCGCCGAAGTGGCCCCCGTTATGTTTCGCGTTTTGATCACTCATCCCGCACTTTCTCTCCGCTCATCCGCGTTTTATGATATAACCATAATTGCTAATTATTCGTAATCGCCTCGCGATCGTTAATATCGCAATCGTATCTCTGGTGAACGCGCGGAAACAACTTTTCTGTGAAAATCGCAACGTGAAATTACCAGATTCTCATAACAGGATATCGATATGAGACCTGACTTATGGCTAACCTGCCGTCCGACGTCCTTTATATTCCTTTTTTCTCGTAAGAGTGTCGTCTCGGTAGTGCCTGGAATCTTCGGTGTGCACAAGCGCGGCGCGAATGCATATATTTCCCAAGCGGCCCTCCAGATAAAGAGTCGACTAAGAAGAGTCAACGAAGAAACGGCCAGTTTATCTGGCGCCATCATCTTAATTTTCTGTTACCACGTAATATCGCCACCCGCCTGTTAATATTGCCGATTTAATCTTTATTAAAGGTACGGCCTAATCTTACGAAACGTTAGCTTTTAATATAGAATCGTTAGACAAATCTTAAAACTTACTATGAATATAAAATAATCCATATTCTGAATTTGTATGCAAATGAATATTGTCTTTATATCGTCATCCCTGTTTTTCAAGATATCGTACGAGGGAAAAGATTGTGCCGATATATCTGGATATGTCTCTCAGACAACATAAGACCGAAAAAAAGCGAAAGCTTAAAGACGTCTTATCATCTTTAAACATCTTTAAGATGTTTTTTAATCTTTTCGTTCTAAGAGCTATCGTCTCTTAAATCGGTTCTTCTTTTATAAAAAATATATATATCTAAATATAAATATATATATATGCAAAGTTTTACGTGAAATATTTGTACATAAATTTTACTATAGAACAATTTAAATTCACTATTGATTCAAGATTATATAAAACGAATAAAAAATAACATTATATTATTTTTTCTGGTACATCATTATTTAAAAAATTAATTTTTTTACCTCGTTTGATATAATAAGATATGTCAATTTCATTATCAACAACTTTTATGATTAAATAGTACCGTAGAATATGATACATTCATATGTAGAGAAATTTCTCTTACGTTTGAAGTATGTCAGAAATGAGAGAGAGTTCAATGGGATACAGATTTTCATGGGAACAAAATTTAACATCGCGGTGGGGCTAAGTAGCCGCTGTAAAACCTACTGTAAGCGCTTTGTGACGACACAACATTGGCCGAGCTTCGGTCGGAAGAAGAAGTGCTCAGCGCGGTCGCCTGTTAAAACGTAAGCAGCTCACAGAAAGCTGCTTACGATATTCGAAACGAAAGGTAGCGAGACGTTATCAGGAGACAGAGAGAAATAGAGAGAAATAGAGAGAGAAAGAGAGAGAAAGAGAGATAAAGAGGAGGGAGAGGCAAAGAGTGTGCCCCTTTCTGCTCGCTTACTAAATGACAATCTGTCAGCGTGTTTCATTAGCGTAAAGTGCACGCAGCTCGCTAATGACGCATTCGCACAAAGAGACCACAATGTAACGGCGAGGTAAGGCGATTGAATTGCGCAAGTAGCGCGATACATCCGTTGTTCCCGTATCCCGAAATCTCTGCTTTGAAAGGAATCGGAAAAATATCCTTTGTAACGTTACGAGCGAGATGACGTTCAATTAGAGAAATTAGTTTCCAGAGAACCACACGTACGCGCGCTCAGACAGCACGGATGTGTCGGCAATATTGTTGTTGTCTGAGCCTGATCGGGTATATTGCGACTGATCGGTTATATTGCGACTGATCGAGTTGTTATGGATTGCAGTTCACCCGATGGTCCAGGTACCGAACCAGCTGGTCGGGGCTCCTATCGGAACTAACGTCACGTTGGTCTGTCACGTGGAAGCGTCACCTAAGGCCATTAATTACTGGACTCGAGAATCAGGTAATAGGACAGTGCAATCAGTACAGTTTCTTGTCGTTTGATTTACTTGAAAGGTCAATATCTTAGTTCAGTTCAATCAGTCGATACGGAATTATTTTAACTAACATTATATAATACTTTTCATGCAATTTTAAATAAAATATTAATTATCAAAATTTTATAAAAATTTATATAAATATGTACAAAAAATATTTACAAAATTTTGTAAAAATATGTACAAAAACGTGAAATTTTTTAACTTTGTTTTTTTACACATATTTATCCTATTTTTAATCATATAATTTAATTTCTCAAATGTCGTTTTGCAGACGAAATGATAATCAGCAACAGTAAGTACGCGATGTCCGAGATAAAAACATCCGTATACAGCGTGCAAATGCGACTAGTGATCATGAATCTGCAGAAGCACGATCTGGGTGGCTACAAGTGCATCTCGAAAAACTCCATCGGTGATGCCGAGGGAAACATCCGACTTTATGGTAAGTTTCGAGAAACACGGTTAACACAAGATCTATAAGAACAAAAAAATCTCCCTGCGAGTTAGAATTTACAAAGACTCTCGAAAAATTTCACTCAGATGCAAATCATTACATTTACAATATTAACAATTAGTATAAAAAATATATAAACTTAGATTTTAGAAGAGCAAACGGAAGATTCAATTTATTATTGAGTAATTGTAATCTATTTGAGTGATTAAAAAATTGACGCAAAGATATTGAAAATAAACCACAAATGATAAATGTTTAATTAAATAAAAATTAATTGAAGTTAAATTAACAATAAGTTAAATAAAAATTAATTTACAAAGAATACGTACGACTTAAAGTTTTCAAAAAAAAGTGAAAGTAAGTACTTTTCTGTAAAAGATCTGAAATAGCCCAGGATACTACGTATCTTAGCGCGGTCGCAGCTGCACGTATCTCGGCGGCGAAAAAGTATGGCGTATCACTGCGACATCGTCGTTTCTATTACACGCGCGATTTAATACGTCGCAATCTCGCAGGAACGATCGACGGCAACGATCTTCTCGCGCATTACGCAACACGATGGTATTTTTCTCGCCGTTCCGTAACGATATGTCGCCGCAAAAATGGCGGACGGTTAAATTTACATGTAGAATTAAGTGTTTGCTTGTTTCTGTATCGTTTGCTTCTATCGCGTAAAGAAATATTGAATTTGCGCGAATGCAATAACAACGTAAATCCCTTATAAAAATAGAAACGTTTTTATTAATTTTCTTTTCGTTATTTCTTTGCCATGAACATATGATTTAGTGTGATTTATGTGGCAAAGAGATGAAGGAAAAATAATTTAACAAAAAGCCCGCCGAGTGAATCCGAGCAGAAATATTTCACGCTTGTGTAATTTTTTTTAACGCCAACTCGTCGTTTTGGTAATCTCAGGAATTTATCTCGAAGAAACCGCACGCGACCGTCATTACAAGATATCGGTATTTGCAGAATTAAGTTCCTCCTCGAGTTTTATTATTTAAGATATCGGAGAGAGACCAGCGCCGGGAGACAGATCGGAATTTCCGCAGTTTCTTAGCCACGTTACCCCGTCGTAACCGTAAGTTATTTCGCGATGCAGATAATATTGTACTCTCTGTATAATATTTATGGAATTTTCCCTTCCATTGTGTGACCGCGAAATACCATCGTCGACCGCTGGCGTATATCCATGAAATACCTAAGTCAGTAATCTTTAAAGTACTTTACAATATTATCGGTTAAACGTGATTGCAAATCTACTCTCTTCTTCCCGAAGTCTGCTCTTAAAATTTTTTTATCGTTATATAATATTAACTTTAATATTAACATTCCACAAAAATCAAACAATTGAAATCGTAAGATATCATAAAATTTCTTTACAGATAATATCAATAAATTAATAATTAATAAATTAATTGATTGATTATTATTAAAAATTTACATATCAGAAGAATATCTTGAAAAAATTTAATATAAAATTTAATATAAAATTTATATCGCATCTTGTTATATAAGCTAATAGCGAACAAAAAAGATATACATTAGAGCGGTTGAAACTCGAATATCTCGTGTGATGTTGCGAGCGTAATAAGTCGTCATGAGTAGTGCCTCATAATTCTTCACGTTGATTGAACGTTACGATCCATTTACGACGTGTATGCTGACACCTCTTTACAACCGAAAAACGGACGAAAAAAAAAGACACATTTTTCGCGGACGACGCGATTCTCTTGCCGGTATGTCATCAACCGTAAGTGCGCTCATAACTTCCCGCTACTCTCTCACGATGTGCATCCTTATTTTTTTTCACGGTTTATTTATCGGATTCCATCACATAATTTTCCGCTTTATAGCGCGAGAAAAAACTCGGTAAAGCTGCGACCGCCCTACGAGGTTGCACTTAGTATAACATAGCGATCAAATGTAATCAATTCTTTCATTTATGCGTTAGAATGTTCTGTGATTTTTTATCCTTGGCGAGTAATTAACTGAGTTATAGAAAATGTAATTATTAAATTGCAAAAACTTGAAGCAAACGCGCTTTCTAGGACAAAAACACACATTAAAATACGTTCTAAATTAAGCGCAATGCGTTTTTAGTAATCTCTCTAAAATTATTGATCACATGATCCTTCGAATGAAAATATCATTTCTGAAAGAGTGACGGTTTGATGTTATTGCAAAATTAAATGAAATTAATATTTTATCTTTACGATTTTATTGTTTAATGATATATGCCAGATTTGATCGCTATTGATATACGTCGCGGATTATAGATAATATATGATACAGAAAATCGGTAAAATGATGTACTTAATAAATGTGACAGATACGATTCATTACACTCGATCTCGCGCTTTTAAATAAATGATGAAATAGATATTGATCGAATGACCGTAATATTGCAATATAGTATAGTACATACTCACGGAATTATTCTCTGTTTTTGGCATTAATGTTGATTATTCACAAAGGACGCGTATGCATGTGCTTTACTACTTTACAGTCTCATTCAATAAAAAATGTAATGCGTACATGTAATTTTCATTGCCTACTATTTTCAAAAACATACATTATGTATTCCTACGCGATACATTATGTATTCCTAAAAATTATAAAATAAATAATATTTCAGCATTTTTTAACGATTTCATTAGCAGAGCGCAACTTTTATATATTCTGTCTAAAAGTTATTTCATCAATACGAAAGAACCGAGTTATTGCGTTATCGTCGCATTACATGTCATGAGCTTTGCGTGTTATTGCAGCGAAGACTCTACGTCGCACGATCAGGGCAAAATTCCCGGCGAGTTATCGACGAGAAGCAAGCATAAAATTACGGATTCACACGCGGCTGCACAATCTCAATCTGCATCCTCGCATCCTGTGCGTCAAAATACCTCAACACGTATCATTAATGCATCAAAGAGCCTCAGGGAGGGAAAATAAATTGCTCTTCAAACTAAATCGCAGAAATAATGACGCAAAACTTCTGTCGCGCGATACTTTTTACGTAAGAAAAGTCTTCGGTTTACCTTTATCACTTAATCGTAACACGGATAAAATGACGTAACAAGTGGGACAAAGCCGGGTCCGATATTCGCGAGTTAACCACCCCCGCGGCTTGTGAGCGTGCAACCTTAATGACGGCAATTTTATCGCTGTCGTATAAAGGGCGGACGAGGAAGCGCGATGTTATCCCGGCATGCTCGAGCTTCTCGTTGAAGTCACGCGATCAGATAAGCTCGAAGGATTAACCGTTAAACCGCGGGTGTAAACGGGGCGCGAAGAGCAGGATAAAAAGATCGCGCGCTCGTCCACGTCGGGAAGGGAGAGAGAAAAGGATTCGGTAGATTTAAGGGCGCTACGTCGAAGGTGAGAATCAAAAGGCTACGCCGGAAGAAGAGCGGCATGTTGGCGCGTCATGTCGAGGATCAAAAGTCCGCGAAACAATATCTGAGCTTTCCATTCAGCCCCCGCCTGTCCCACCCCTTTCCCCTTCACGCCTCTCTTCTATCCGCACCGTGCCGGTTTTTCGTGTCCTCTTTTCCACCGCTCTTCCGGGGATGTTCTTGTCACAGATTGCGCGCGGTCGGGATTATGGATTTACCTTGATAAATGGCAACTCGATATCGGAATCGCGGCGTATCTCCGGGATGAAGATCGCGTTGCTTTAAATTATAAGAGAGTCTACGGATTTTGATTTCTCTCGCGTTATTATATAGAGAGGAATTTCCAATATTTCCAATTAACTCGCTTATCGTTTATTTTCATAATTCAAAAGATGATTCATAACGAATGTGTCCATTATAATTAACCGTCAGCGTACTTACATTATATAAATTTTACAAAGAGGTATATAATTTCAAAATTGTATCTTTTCAATAATTTGACGACGTTTAATAATTCGAGCGATCAAATGTGTACAATTCTCACAGTCATTTTGTTACAGCTTCTACGGCTTATCACGAGAGAGATTAAAAAATAATAATATCCTCGCCTTGTACAGGAAAGAAAAGCGGTATTATCGAAAGGAAGTATCAATGCTAGTGAGCAACTTTGAAAAATGTTGGGAATTTTCCGCAAGAATCGCTTGTGTTTCCAATAATGACTCCCTCTGGATCAGATAGAATATAAGTTGCGCGTCGCCCAAAAAAGCGCTGCGGAACAATAGCGAAGATCATCGGGCCGTCACGTCGCCGGTTAAAAGACCGTGAAACAATATCTAACGTGGCCGCCATCCTGGCGTTATCTCTCTTCTTGCTCTCCGCCATCCTGGCCCCGCGTACTCCCGTGTCTCGTATTAGTTATCGTTTATCAGCCAGCCAGACAAAACGCGCCGTCCGGAATTGGGTGAGCCATCTGTTGCCAGACATGATCGATAAAAGTCTGCCAAGTGTTATCAGTGCTAAACTGCTATTTCGACGGGCTGCCGCACGCGCGCACCACTCTTCTACTTCTTCTTATAGTTCTTCTAACCACCGGTCCACCGCAACCTGCCTCCTCGCTCGTAGCAGCTGTATACGGGGTGTCGCGGGAGATAAATTTTTATTTTCAAAGAATTGACGATCGTGGAATCAACTTTTTTATAAATAAAAGAATAAAAATTTTCAGAGGAACGTAATCGCGAAAATGTTTCGCATCGCGAGCGCGAGTAAAAAGGCTTTGCACGGCTTGAAATTCGAGAGTAATAAATGTAACTTTTTTATGCGCATCAAAGGTGAAATTTTTGCATCGAGAATTTACATCTACTCAGCGTATGAATTAAATTCATTAGCAATATTGCTAAGTGGAGTTGACCGAGAGCAAAAGGAAAATTAGGATGGAAATTGCGCCTCGCTACAGGATTCGAGCGCTCCCGTAATAACTAGCAATAGCTAGCAGAGAGATACCTAATTCAATGTCATTGAAACGCGATCTTGTCAATTAGCCCTGTGATTTTGGTATTTGGTAGCTTCGTCGAAGCTATATAATCAACATACGGGTTAAACGTTCTAACGTTACGAGAATTCGGTTACGCTAATTTAATTAGGATAATGAGATGCGCATTAATGTTTAATATTTATATAATCAAATCAAATAATATTATTATAATTAAATATTATATATATTTTTACGGAACATTTTTCAATCGAAATGCATTTTTCTACAAGGCTGAAATATAATTTATAAGAGTGATATATCTATAGGAAAAATTAATGAAGGCAATAATTATGGAGCTCTCAATAATGTTCAATGTAGATAGAATTTAATCACGTTGCGAGACAAGCATGTGTATCGGTGCATGTCGAATCAGTGCAGAAAATTAGCGTTACCTATATATATATATTTCCTAAAGAGCGAAGCTAACACGAAAAAGATAGCGGGGTGCTTCATATAAAATATATATCGTTGCCCTTCTTTCTTCTCCTGCAACTTTGCGTTATCCCCTATCACGTATCGACTTGCTCATCATTCGCTCGTTGAATTTCAATGTAACGTGCCGTGAATATTTAGTAATGTTGAAAAAATGCACCATATCCCAAAGAGAAAGTTACATTCACGCGAGAAATGTGGTAGAATGCGACATATAAAAATCTCACCTTGAAAAAAAAGGTTTTTTGAAAGCAAAGAAAAAAAAAGGAAGAAAGCAAATTGATATTTTTTTTCTCCATTTTGCACGCAACAAACTGCACACCTATCGCGATACAATTTCCAAAAAGGAAATCTCACTTTACTTTTATTCACCTCGCGTATATCGGGTGACGTGGAGCGTAAAAACATCGCGCGATATCCTCCATCCAGGTTCTGCACGTGCGGAGAAAAAAATGATATCTACTCGCGCCCGTATAGCCGACTACTGGGTTGGCCACAGTTGAAATAATGTTTCGACGATCGTGCCTTGAATTTAATAACGAAAGGAACTGCAAACTTGACACTCTCAATGCGCAGCGTAAATATCGATATCTCCAACATTTTCTACATCGACTCGGCAACTTGTAAAATCACTGTTTAATTCTTACGTTCACATAACCCTGTTTAAACGCAGCGACTTGTCTGCAAGACATTGAAGATTTAAAAAAATAAGAAAGACAGTTTTAAAGGAAATATCTAAACAGGATTATATTAATACATGATATATACCAGTTCTCCTTAAACAATGTAATGAATTTTAAAATGATATATTTTAAAATCCTAATAATTTCACAAAAATATAATTATTAAAAAAAAAAACTATTTTTCATGTTATACATCTATCATACAAGTGCATCTTTATCATGTTGTAGACATGGAGTTGCCTAAACATTCCAAAAAAACGGGTGACCGGCGATCGGAGGATGATGCGGGCGATTTGATCGTCGATCGCGATCACAGACTGAATCACGTGCATCAGGGCCCATTGAGGGAAACGGGATCTACGCTAGAACCGGCTTTCGACGAGGACGACAATTCGACATCCACCACGTCGAAACAGAACGCATCGCTCGTGATCATCGCCATCATCCTAGTCGCGCTGCATCATCTGCTCGCTTCGACGTAAGATAGACGGAATTTACTCTTACACACTCAAAATACGTTTATTACGAGCTCGATTCTCTAGCTTTAACTCTAAGAGAAATTGCGCGAGATTGCGGCGAAATAATCCGATCGAGTCGCGTTCTTGGCGATCCATGATTGCCGTCGACCAAATTTTGGCATCGATACTTCGTTGATACGTAATAGCCATAATATCTTATATGGAAATAATTATTATGCGCCACGTTGCTGAAGGATACTATTATAATACAACATTTGAAATAAGTTTGAAAGAAAATTCACTGAATCGAGCAAAAAGTTGCAGAACAGAAAGTTTCATATTATTATTATTATTAGAGAAAGTAAATCTTATATTTTGAAATATATTTTACTTATATATGAAATGATAATATGTTAAAATACATTCAATACAATGTACTTGGGAAATATAGCGAATTTATTTTTCTGTGGAAATTAGAAGACGAATTATGATATAAATTTGATTATTAATTTATTTTTCTGTGGAAATTAGAAGACGAATTATGATATAAATTTGATTATTAACCAAATGTAACAGCTTTTTACCGGGCAATTTTCTCCTAATAGAAAGAAATAATTGCGTTTTTATTATTTATTTCATTTGCGATGTGAAATAACGGATTATAAAATTACAATTGTGAAATTTGAAGTCTCTATCAACGTCAATTCTGCGATAATTAAACATCTGCCCAGTTCGCATTTGGATAAACAAAGGCATCTCTCATAAAATTTTATTTTGAAACGCGAAAGTAGACGATAATAATAATATCCGCATATGTAGAAATAGAAGCAGAAACTTGGAAGCCAAGGAACAAGCGACATGTTAAATCAAATTATACGTAATATAACTCATCATATCATATCATATAAAATACGACAGTTAAAAATAATGACACTTGCGAGACAGAATATTAATTCTCGCAAAAGCTCGATATGAAAGTACTATATGGATGACTTTTATATATGTTTCATTGCAGGAGATATTTTTGATCGAAGACATTTTAGTAAATTCTGTTCATGTCTTAAAAATATTTGTATAAAATGTCTTAATGCTATTTCATCTTTTATTTAAAAAGCAGTAAGGAAATTTGTATACTTTTTTTTTATAAATATACAATTGCATCTCTATCGAAGAATTTATTAATAAATAAATTTGAATATAATTGGTTTGTTAAAGATTACTTAGATTATTATAATCGATCGAATTAATCTCTTGACATCTATATTATATTTTCTTTCTGGAAAACAATTTTCAGGAACCTATTTCAGTTTTAATTCATAGGCGATGCCTTTAATATAAAAGCCATCCATAAATCTCGTGTAACATCGATCCAACGTAGCCGCTCTTCCACTTAACGCCCATGTAAATTAACAGTCTAACGAATATCGGCGAAATATTAATGACACACCAAAGATTGTGAAATTTTGCTCGTTTCGTCATCGCGGGCTACGGTTACCGTGATTGTCCGTTTGCGGCTTAACGAGATATCTCGTTAGTAGCCGCGTCTCGCCGCACATCACCCTCCCAATGACATAATTATAAAACCGCCGGACTTTTTTAGCTCGCATCCGAAACGTCAGATCAGAGTGGGCGAGGCGGCTTTACACGCGGAATCAATTACGCGAACGTCGTTCACGTCGAGTCGTTACCGATGCCGGAGGAAACGCTCCCGACAGCGACTGCCGCGCGAGAAATCGCGCATGTTTAATTAACGCGCAAATTCCCATCGAGTGAATTCGCATTAGCCGCGATCAAGTGGAACGAGCTGCTGCAGTATCGGTGTCTAATCCAGAGACAATTTTACTTACACGAGAGCAAAGCGAAGTGCTGGGCTTTCCGCTCGTGCGTGCGTGACGCACGCAATTTCGCAATACGTATCTCTTCGTATCCAGGGAAATTCAATTTCGAATTGCGTTTCTCGAAATTCAGACCAAACGAGCGAGAATATTCTTGATATATTTTCATCTATCACACACTAATCTCTTTGCAATTTTCATCATCTGAAAGATGCTGAGACATCTCTGAATTATAAAAAAGAGATGTTGCTTCTACTTTTATACTTTATATAATAATATCTATAATATATATACATATTCGATACTCTTTCCTGGAAAAAATTAACGCGTATGACAGAACGGTAATTGAAAATTTTCTCATTAACATATTTACATATTTACATTATGCAAGCATATCGACATATTTTTATCGACAATTTGATTATTAAATACATATATATCGGTTGATACAAATAATTGGAGATGTTTCTTTTATTAATATTCCGAAATTATCCAGACAATTATGTTAAATTTTTAACTTCTTCAAGACGCAACAGAGATGTTTCTTCTCATGTTTGTTTCATCTGTGCTCTGAAAATATAACCTTTTGCACTTTTAGACCGATAGATGTGTATCGATCTGGAATATCCTATCTAGCTCGAAGAGATCCGCGATTGCTCTTTCCATTCTTATATCGTGAAAAAATTTCACGATAAAGAAACATCAATATGTGCTTCGTACAAAAAGTAGAAAATAGAATTTTTTAAATAAAACAGTACTTTGTGTGTAAATAGCTAACTACTGAATTTCCTGTCAAAAAACTAAAATATCGAGTTATAAATATGCAGTTAGTAACATCATAAGAATCCTTCGCACGTGGAAAAATGGTAACGTTAAATAACATTAATAAATTAATTTGCTATCATTTTATATCAACATTAAATATGAATTATTAAAATTGATCTTAATCTCTCTTTCTTAGTTTACAACAAAATTGCAAGCCATACAGTTTATACATATAAATAAATTCATAAAATTATATAATTTTGAAGACACCGTGTTACATACGCTTTGACATGCGTTTTGTTTCAAAATTTATATATTTCCTATTAATGTTAAAGTTAATTTGTGACTCACATATGTACATATAAAATTTCGGAAAATCTTGTGGTTCGTTGAAAACGCGACGACTCGATAAACGAATTTTGATACATAATTTTGTCTCATTAACTAACGTCGAGACGCGCAGATGAAAGCAAAAATGAAAAATTATTGCTCGTCCCGATTAGAGAAACGTGCCAAATATTCGGCTTTGTTATTCTTTTTTTATTTTAAGAATTTCCAATTCATGCATCGAATGATTTAAAATGACTTATCAATATCGGCGTTTCAAGGGTCCACATCGCTTTTTTCAAGCTTCCGAATCCAATATTAGGTATTCGCGCGTTGTTATGCCATTTAGACGGCTTTTCTATAAACGGCACCAAGTGTCGAGAGTTTTCAGTTGGGAATATTTGCGAATAATTCTCATATCTTAGAAGTGTTTATATAAAAACTATAAAGCAAAAAAAATATCTACCCATCTTTCTGTATAAATGTATATACATATCTTTGAGTTGGAATATTTATTAACCCATTAATAGTCAAAACTTAAATAGTTAAAACTTAATCTTGTAACTGGTTTGTTAAGTAGATTAAGACTGTCATAAATTACTCTTATGGCACAAAATGATATTACATCCTCTAGAGAGAACTTTAGAATCTTATTTTACAATTTTGTGACATAAAGGCACTCAGGTCCTTTTACATAAAAGTCGTCCATTTAATGGGACAATGAATATTCCTGGTAGACAAAGGATGCGACGCTTTATAATGACAGCACTTTTGCTACCGCTCGTTACGACAGCGTTGTCAATTATGTCATCCGACAGTCACATTGTGAACGGACGATTAACGCGTATCGAGGTTAAATATTTTATACTTGTGAAGTATGAAAAGAATGACACGCGATCTGCCAGTATATAAAGTGTTTTCGCAGAGTTATAATACTGTGTAATAAGAAATGGCAACTGGCTCGCTTCAGATCCCTTCTTTACGTGGCATTAAATCTTAAGGTAAGTATTATATTTATCGTCGTAATAAAGATGTAATTAGAAAAATTTAAGTTTGCATAGAGTCATTTTTCATATAACAAAAATCGAAGTTTTTCTCTGATTACACGCTTTATTTTCTATTATATGTATATGCATATCTCATAATCAGTAATATATTCCATGGGTGACAACGTATGTATAAATTGAAAATAAGAACATTACAATGTGGGCATCGTCAGGTCAGGTCATCCGTATAAAAACTTACATCTAATATCCATAATTATTATTGGAATTTCAGTTATATATTTTCTTTGTACGTTTACATTAAATCTAATTACGAATTATAAACTCATGACTAATTTAACATTTAACGAAATCTAAATTAATTCTTGTTACATAATTATCATAGTATCGATTATAATGCAAATCGAATCAAATGTGACAATGTAAATTATTAATATCATATTATCGCGATCGCCAATTTCGTATTTAATGCCACGTGAAAATATTGGGCCAAAGTGTTGGACCGCCGTTAAGGCCCGCAGGATTGTTTCGTTATTTATTCGCAATTTGGGCCTCGTTATAATCACAATAAGTGGATGTACATGCCTGTTTATGTGCGTGCGTGTGCGTGTACATGCGTGAGTGTCGCGCCGTGTGAGAGAGAAAAACATCGCGATGTCTAATTATTATTATTAATGGAAGCGGGAAAACGTCTATGTGTAGATTGTGTAAATTACGGAATAGGGTTTATCAAATTGTTGATCGTAGGTGTGTTTACAAGGGTTATATAATATATATATAAATATATATATAAATATATATAAATATATGTAAAGCGTAAGGAGAGTTGGAAGTAAAAAGAGAAATAAAAATCTCAGATCATAATCGAATTGGCCTTCGCGCATCGCGGTGAATAATGAGTCTTTGTGGCTCTGAAAATTATCGACGAATTCTGTTGATCGATCATTGTTAATTATCGTTTTGATCATTGTTATAGTTGCCATCGCTTATTAAACATGTATTAACTATCTGTTATCATGTAAATCGTCCTTATCACGACGAAACAATTTAATATATGAAACAATTAAGAAATTATAAAGATCATACATA